TTCTCTGTCAAATGGGGGTATGGCTGCAATTCCCGGGCTCTGGGAAGGATTATTTTTTTTTTTACTCTACATGTAGCCCAGGTTCTCCTAAAGCCCTCTAGATAGACCAGGCTGGCATAAACTCACACGAGATCCTCCTGCCTCTGCCTTCTGAGTGCTGAGATTAAACGGCATTCGACATTCCCAGCATCTGGAAACGATTAATGAGCAATGCTTGGGGATTATGTCATTGTCCAATGCACAGTTTATCTGGAAAGAGCTAGGCCTTTTGATTTTTTTCTTAAGATTTATTTTAAACCAGGTGGTGGTGGCACACATATTTAATCCACACATGCACACAGACACACAGAGAGACACATATACAGAGAGATGCACAGAGAGACATGCATATAAACAGACAGAGGGGAGGTACAGGCAGACAAACCTCTGAGTTCAAGGCTAGCCTGGTCTATAGAATGAGTTCCAGGACATCTGAGGCTACAAAGAAAATATGTCTGAAAAGAAAGGAAGAAAGAAAGAAAGAAAGAAAGAAAGAAAGAAAGAAAGAAAGAAAGAGGAGAAAAAGAAGAGAAAGAAAGGAAGATTTATTTTAGTGTGTGTGTGTGTGTGTGTGTGTGTGTGTGTGTGTAGGCATGCTTACATGAATGCAATACCTGAAGAGTCCAGTAGATGGTGACAGATTCCCAGAACTGGAGTTAGGGGTGACGTAGAGCCACCTGATGTGGGTGATGGGAACTGAACTCCGGTCCTCTAGAAGAGCAGTTCTCACTTTTTTTTTGTTTTGTTTTGTTTTGTTTTTGTTTTTCGAGACAGGGTTTCTCTGTGTAGCTTTGGAGCCTGTCATGGCACTCGCTCTGGAGACCAGGCTGGCCTTGAACTCACAGAGATCTGCCTGCCTCTGCCTCCCGAGTGCTGGGACTAAACGCCTGGCCCAGTTCTCACTCTTAACACCAAGCCCCAATTATGATGTTCTCAGAAAGCCAGCACAGTCAAACAGCCTGAGGGGCAGTAGCTGGGCAGTAACTAGAACATTGCTTGCTGCTGACTTTTCAAAAAATGACTTGCTCTGGGGAGACATGAAAACATGAGCTGGACCCCAGCACCCAGATAATCTGAGAGTAGCTGAAGGTGCCTGCATCCCAACCCTGAGGAGGACAGAATTGGGAGGAGCCTAAGGGCTGCAGACCACCTAGTCCCACCGAAACACTGTTGAACTGCTGGTGTTACCGTGTGACTCTCGGTGAGAGAGCCTGACTCAAAAATGAGAGGGAAAATGATTGAAGATTGACCTCTGACCTCAATGAGTGAATACATACACACACACATATACACAGACAGACAGACATTCAGACACACACACACATTCAGACACATGCACACAGACACACAGAGAGACGCATATACAGAGAGATGCACAGAGAGACATGCATATAAACAGACATGCACACATGCAGAGACAGACAGACAGACAGACAGACAGACAGACAGACATTCAGACACACACACACACACACACACACACACACACACACACACACACACACTGTTTCTCACACTTGGCACTGAGGAGACCAAATGTGAGCGGGCCCTCAGGTGCTATCTAACAGGGCTGGCTCACTTCTAGGCACACGGTAACACCAGCAGTTCAACAGAGGCCTGAGTACGAGATGATAAAGGAGTCCATGAAAAATGCAGCTCTCACCCCCAGGGAAACGAGAAAGTGTGTCCCAAGCCAAACGGGAGCAACCACAGCCCACGCTGACCTGGGTTCTCCTGAAAAGCTGTGTGACCTGAAAAAACTTACAGAACAAGTCATAAGCCAGGGCATTTACCAAGTACATTGGTGGGGAATGCGTCTAGGCTGGGCACAGCAAAGGGGAAAACGCACCTGGTGGTCTCTGATGTCTTCTGAAGACATTCTTGCCTTCTGATTGGAAGCTGGTGTTCTACTAGAACACATACTAAAGGTTTTACCTGATGGTTCCAAGGATGTGAGCCAGACACAAGGGTGAGCAATGACTATTAAAAGTACTAAAGAGAGCCCAGTTGGGTCTGGATCTGTGCCATCCCAACTCTCCATCACAGGGTTCTAATTAGTTATTCAGCCTTGCAGGGTCTTTATGCTTTGGCCTTCCTTTCTATTTCTTCCTGCACTTTCCCCAGGTGACAAGATCCTGTGGGAGGGGCAGCAGGACAGCTGACTCTGCCTGGGAACTGGAAAGTGTTCCTAAGTCTCTCCCCCAGGAAGGGATGACTTAGCCAAGAAAAGAGACACAAAGAAACTCCAACCAAATGAAGAGGTGGAACAGCAAGCAAGACCCTGGGAACAGCCTCTGCAGACACCCAGACGTGGGATAAAAACCAGAAGCAGAGGCCCTCGGGAAATGGAGGTCATTTCCCTGTCGATCCCAGGGAGATGACACAGGGCCCTCCTCATACCCTAGGCCTGTAGGGACAAAATATGCATGTGGCAGAGGACAGTGGGGATTAAAGAGCAGAGTGGCTCTGGGTTGAAGACCCAAGGTCCCTTCCAGTGTCACAATGGAGACTCTGTTCCTGCCTCTGCCTTCTGCTGGCTCCTGCTGTCCTCTCCCTGCCTCCTGCCTGACACCACAGCACCCTGAGTGCACAGCTCTGTCCAATGTCTCGGTCACACTCAGACACCAGCAGCCTCAGGCCAGGACTCATCCTAATGACCATCATTTAGCACAGGCCCATTTCTTAAGAAGAATTTCAGCGAGGCCTGGGAGTTAGACCTCAGTCTCTTTTGGAGAAAAGCAGCCATGTCCCAGCTCCTCTGTGTCTCTCTCTGGACCTGTGTAGGCTGGTAGCCCTGAACCCCACTGATCCTACAGGAAGTGTGGGTGCTAGGAGATGGGTGAGCAGGGAGGCCACTGTAAGCATTTCCACAGCTCACATAGGATGGACAGGGATGGATTATGGCACTTGGGAGCCAAAGAATACTGAGTGTTACAGCTCAGATGGAAAGGTATCCTGGCACTCGGGAGCCAAGGGATACCACAGGTCACAGTAAGCACAGCAGCTTACAGCCCTGCTTCATGGAAAGGCTTCCCCAGTGTATTAGCTCTGCTTCTGCAGGAGAGGGCTTCCACAGCAAAGTTGTTACAGTTTGGTTCCAGTCTCCCAGAGAGGGAGAAGAGGGAGAGCGGAGAACAGCTGGGCAACACAAACAGCCACAAGCTGAACAGACACAGGATTTATATAGGGATTCTTAGGGGGTGGAGTTTTTCCAGGGTGGTGATTGGTCAGACTTCAATCCCTGAGTTTAGGATGGCTAGATCTGTTCAGAGATTTGTTAGTTTTTCCGCACAGGTTTAGGGTCAGATTTGGCTCTGGTTTCAGGGCCAAAGTGTGTTTTTTCACTGGTCCTTTTTAGCCTTTTGGCTCTAGTTTTAGGGCCAGGGTGTATTTCTTTCACTGGCTCTGATTCCAGGGACAAAGTGGGGGGTTTTTTGTTTGTTTTTTGTTGTTGTTGTTGTTGTTGTTGTTGTTGTTTTTGTTCTGGTTGCAGGGACAAAGTGTGTTTCTTTGGCTCTGTTCAGGGTGTGTTTCTTTGGCTGGCCCCCTTTCCCTACAGCATCATGAGCTAGCTGCTCTAAAACATGGGACAGATCCCCAGGGGCTCCCAGGCCCAGAATGTGCCCACAACATTGCTTCCCCCACATCTTTCATCCTCCCCCAAACCTTGTGCACAGCTATGAACCCCTTTAGTTCCTTCCCCAGCTAAAGGGACCACAGCAGACCAAGGAAGTCTGGTTTCTATCTATCCCCAGGGCCACAGCCTCTTGAGAGAACAGAATGAGGCTGTGTGATGCCTGAGGCAGACTTCAAGGACAGATATCAATGCCATCAAACTGTCTCCTAAAACCATATGCTGTCCTGGAATGTCCAAATTGTGCTCAAACAGCACGCAAGTTAGGGGTACCCATATTATCTTGGTGAGACCCAGATTAAAGCAATCTCTCTCTCTCTCTCTCTCTCTCTCTCTCTCTCTCTCTCTGCCAGCTAGGATCACCATTTGAAGACACCAGGTTTCCAACATAGACAGAAGCCAAATACATGACTATCTGTCCAATGCTTGTGCAGTCTTGGCACGAGCGTGCGCACACACACGCGCACAGAGCAGAACCATAGCTTCCTTGCCTTAGGCCTCCATTCCTCAGTCCAGACTTTCCCTTGATTCTACCTTCAGCATCACAGTGGTTTATCCCAGACATGATGCCAACTTCAGTAGCTCCCATTTCTTCCCTAGGCCTGTGTGCAGCCTGGACTAAGGACCTCACACTCATCAACCCATCATCTTCTCACAGAGTGACCTTGTACCCCAGCAGAACAGGGAGCACAAAGTCAAGATGCCTGGGACTGGAAGTCCTCGGTTCAAATCCTAACTCTGAGAGTTGTGCTACGTGATGCTGGATGACTTACTCAACCTCTTTGTCCCTCAGCCATCCTGCCTCTACAACAGATGGCAATGCTATTGAGACTTGTGAGACTTTGCAGAGGACTGAGTTGCTATTTATATGTAGATTACCACCAGGCATTTAATGGTGGTTCACAAATAAAACCCATCTTACAGATGGAAAAACTAAGGCCTGGAGAGTCTATCTCATAAACACAGGGCCCCACAGCAAAACAGAATAGATGAGAACAGGGGCGTGGGTGGAAAGAGTCTGCTTCCTCAAGCCTGGTTCTGAGGTGCTCTGCGGGCAGCTTGCCCTGGGTCTCTGGGTGAGAGTTCAGGAAGCCTCAGCCGACCCAGAAAGCTTGGTCCCTACTGTTCCCAGACTGCCCAGGTAGTCAGAATCACACTGATGCAAAAGCATAGCCATGAACTGGTAATCTCAACGACAACCCCTGAACTGCTGAGAGGAAAGGAAATGAAGGAGGAGGAGGAGGAAACGACAGCCCTGCTGATCAGTTCAGGACACGCCCCACTAAGCCGAGGGAGAAACGAAACTCTCCTGGGGACACAGGTCAACATGGATCTGTACCACACCCCAGCTGGAGCTCTGGACAAGTTGGTAGCCCACAGCCTGCACCCATCCCGTGAGTTTACAACAGCTGTGCGGGGCGCTCTGGGGCTACTGGACACTGCCCTACGGGAGCGGGGAGCCCTAGGGTCACAGAAACCAAGCGTGATAAGGATCGTCAAGGTGAGAGGGCTGGGTATCCCAAGACAGTCACCTGCTTGGTCTTCTGAGGGATGGTTCAAATGTCACTTTAACCAGCCACACTGTAGGGAAACAGGCATCAAGATGCCATGTAATATTCCAGGTTAAGGGCCCAGGCTGGACCTCTTAGGGTGACCTGATTACTCCTATGCTCTTGTTTATTTATTTATTTATTTATTTATTTATTTATTTATTTTGGTTTTTTGAGACAGGGTTTCTCTGTGGCTTTGGAGGCTGTCCTGGAACTAGCTCTTGTAGACCAGGCTAGTCTTGAACTCACAGAGGTCTGCCTGCCTCTGACTCCTAAGTGCTGGGATTAAAGGCATGCACCACCACTACCTGGCACCCCTATGCTGTCTTAAAGACTGTCTCATTCATTCATTCATTCATTCATTCATTCATTCATTCACTCACTTATTCAGACTAGACCTGACACCGTCTGAGCCTCACTGCTCTAAAACTGGAGGATCACACTCATACCCATGATCACACTCATGGCCCAATCTTTGAGAAAAAGCTAAGTAGCGATGAACATTACCTGGTTAAATCAGAGTGCCAACTCCCTCAGTCCTCATGGTTCCTGAGGTAGGGAATTATTGCCAGCTTTATGAATGGGGAAACTGAGGCTGAAAATGGTTAAGCTATTCTCCAGGCCACATTATGTCACATGAGCGCCACACCACACTGCTTCTATCACCTTTAAATACTCAGAGAGCTGGGGAGACAGCACTGGGAGGCACCTTAATCTGGGTAAACCTGGGGATGTGGTGATATCGTGGGGACCGAGGAGGGGTGGGGTGAGTCTAGAGGTTTTCCTGGGTAGGTCACAGGTCACCTGCCAGTTCCTGAGGCTACATCATCACTGGAGATGTGGAAAGAGTCCGAGGCCCTGGGAGATGCAGAGTCCACTTCTGTCTTTCAGATGTGGCTAAATACTTGGGGTGGGGTGAGCAATGTATATCCCTCCTCCTAAGCCCCAAGGACAAACCGAGAAACAAACCCACCACAGGTCACTCTGGGGAATCAATGAATCCACTGGGCTTCCTTACTGAGCCTAGGAAAGGGGGTGCTTACAAAAGGGGTACTTACCTTCAAAGACCTTGCTGGAAGTCTTCACTCAGCAGGGAGGAGGTCTTCAGGAAGCTGCACACACACACACACACACACACACACACACACACACACACACACACACACACACACACACACACACACACACACGCGTGCGCCTATACACCCCAGCCCTCCCCAGACCACGTGCACACAGCAGGTGCTAGGGAGCAGCAGGTCCTGAGGTGAGCGTCCATCATGAGGAAAAACAGCCAACAAGCTCAGCTGTGGTGATCTGTGGCACAGTCACACCAGAACTCCCTAAGAAGGTGGTTGTTTGGCTCTGAGGATTATGATTACAGGGTTATGAGGGATCCTGCAGGGCAGGAGCCAAAGGCTGTCTAAAACCCTGGTGTCCACAGCTCTCTAGAAAACTCCCACCGTTTTCTAGATTTCTCTCTAGAAAACTCCCACAGTTTTCTCAACTCCCACAGTTGAGACTGACATCAACCTGTGGTCTCTGATGACTGTGGGCTCTGAAAGAAGGTCAGCTCTGGTTCCATGGCCCACACTGAGGTTCAGGGGCGTCTCTCCCCACTGAAAAGGCTCTCAGGATTCTGGGGCTTGTAGCTGGGTCAGAAAGCCAAGAAGGAAGGCACAGAGCTTGGGAGCCACAGACCTCAGTAGCTGTGTCAGAATGAACCCTGATCTCAGGTGACCAGCAGTCTCAGGAGTGGCTGCAGGCCTTCATTACAAACTGCCTGCCCTATGCTGCACAGCTGCCCGCTCCAGAAAGCCACTATTTCAGACCTCACATGGCCTCTGAGTACTGGGGTTAGGGACATGGGCCACCACAGGTCACCACCGCCAGGCTAGAGATTCCTTTTTCAACCACAGAGGGCAGGGGTGGAGGTGGAAGGAACAGGGTTCGAGGACCGAAACCTCTTTAAGCTCCCCATGGCATGGGTTTGAAAACCAAAATTGAGCTCAATACTGTATGGGAGGGAAAGACGCTCTCCATGCATCCCCGAGGTGTCAGCTGGGACCTCGCTCTCCTCTTCTCTTTTGGCTTGAGGGAAGAGAGATGCATTTTCCCCTGTGAGGTGAGGGTGTAATAGTACCTTCATTCCAGCATCCTTAGGGAGGGTGGGATGCTCATGTGTGAGCTGCCCAATGGCCATATCCTCTGCTGCTTCCTTTCCCTCCACACACAACTTGAGGGTCAACAGTGAGGGGCCTGGCATCGTCATTGTGATGACAAAGGCCCCAGTCTATGCTGGGACCTGTGCCTCAATCTGATTCCCACTGTCTGTGCTCAGGCTCAAGTGCCTGTATCTGCCACCATATGTGGCCACACCAGGGTGGCTATGTACTGAGAGAAGATAATGGGTACAGATGCAGGGCACAGGGCATGAAAGTCTCCTTCCTGAGTCCTCAGACTGGAGCTTTGAGACCAAAACACCATCAGAAAGGTCTGGGACACTAGGCCTGTCACAGCATACTTACACGTTTGCTGCCACAAAGCGTGTGAACTTACTCAACCACACTTGGCTTGCCCATTTCAGTTTTTAAAGAGTCAAGAATGGATCTTGGAGGGTCAGCTTGGTGTCACACAAGCATGATGACCTGAGTTCAAATCCCAAGCACACACATAGTCCCAAGAACGTGGAGACAGGATCCCTCAGAGAAAGTAGGCTAGCGAGACTAGCCATATCGGTAAGCGCTGGGTTTGATCCGGGGACCCTGCCTCAGTGAGTAAGATGGAGAAGTGACCAGGATGACTCCTGACATCAACTTTGTGCATCCTCAGGCACACACATGTGTACACACGCCCCCCATGCATGTGTGCTCACACACTGTAAACATGCACGCATGTGAAATGGAGGCTGGAGAGAAGGCTCAGGGGTTCAGAGCTCTGGCTGCATTTGCCAAGGACGCAGGTTCAATTCCCTCCACCCACATGGCAGCTCCCAACTGTCTGTAATTTCAGCTCCAAGGGTTCCAGCATCCCTCTTCTAGGCTCTGTGGGCACCAGGCACACATGCACTACACATACATACATACGTGCAGGCAGAACACTCAGACACATGAAATAAAAATAACTAATCTTTTTTAAATAGAAAAGAAAAAGGTGGGGGTTGGTACCCGGCATCAAATGACGGTCATGAATTTACAAAGCAAAGTCACTTCTCCCAGAGCTCAGGTCTGGCTGCCATGAAAAGGACCCGTGTTCTGCCTGGTGCGGGATGCAGAGAGCTTCATGGCTGCCCTTCCTCAGTCCACGTGGCCCACCCAGTCCTTCAGGATCCCCCGCAGGGAGCAGAACTGGAGTGCGTGGTCCCCAGCTGTCTTTCTTCTTCACAGGGAGGAGCCTATGCCCGGGGCACAGCTCTCAGGGGTGGCTGTGATGCTGAACTTGTCATCTTCCTCAGCTGCTTCAGGAGCTATGGGGATCAGAACACCGGACGTACAGAGACCCTGGGTGCCATTCGGGTGTTGCTGGAGTCCTGGGGACGCCACCCTGGGCCTGGCCTGACCTTTCAGCTTTCTGAGCCAAAGGCACCCGGTGTCTTGCAATTCCGGCTGATGTCGGCAGACCAGGAAAACTGGATGGATGTTAGCCTGGTGCCTGCCTTTGATGTCCTGGGTGAGGAGCCCTCAGCCTGATCCACAGTTGGAGGCACCATAATTAGGAGAAAGACGAGTTGTTGCATTCTGACCTTCTACCCACTTCCTGTGTGACGTTGGAGAGCCCCTAGCCCTCTCTGGACCTCAGTTTCTTGACTAAATGTATCAAGTTCAGACACTGCAGGAGCCAGGAAGGCCTAGTGCCCCTGGTCTGTGGCCCTGAGTTGGTGCTTGACCCTCACCCAGCAGCTCTGGCTAAGAGGCTTTTCTGTGGACATGGGCTGGTGAAAATACTCTCTTGGTGCCTTTAAGAGAATTTTGACTTCTCAAACATGCCCTAGCTATGCTTTGACTTATTCCAAAATATGCCTTCGTCCTCATCTGAGAGTGAGGAGAAGGCACAGGCCACTAAATGCCTGTTCCTCACTGTGACCAATTCCTGACCACAACAGCCAAGCCCCCAGAACCTCTGACTTAGTTGGAAGCTCCTCTCTGTACCTTGAAACCCGACTCTTCCTCTCAGGCCCCCATCCCTCCCCCCTCCTGTCTCCAACTCCCACCCCCTCCTCCAAGTCAGCTGCTCTCCCAGGGACAGGCAGAGTTCAGTGCTCAGTGTCCTTCCTAACCTGCTCTCCTTGCCGCCCCCAGGACAGCCCCACTCTGGAGTCAAGCCCAAGCCCAAACCTGAGGTGTACTCCTCCCTCCTCAGCAGCGGCTGCCGGCCAGGGGAGCACGCAGTCTGCTTCACAGAGCTCCGAAAGGACTTTGTGAACAGTCGCCCCATCAAGCTTAAGAACTTAATCCTGCTGGTCAAACACTGGTACAGCCAGGTGAGGACACTTGGCTAGGTCCGCCTGAAGCCTAAGACTGTTTATATAGCACCTGCTATGTTCTTTGTCTATGGTTTTCTGCTGTGAGCTGCCTTCTTGTTGGTTCACTAGTGCTCTTTGCATACTGTGGATGTCGAGAGCCTTATTTACTACTTGTGGTAATGCAAATGTGTTCACCCAGTCTTTGGATTGTCTTTCTGCCATCTTTAAAAGCCATTTGTCACTGGAAATAGTTGAATTTGAATGACATCATGCATATTAATTTCTTGGCCGAGGCGGGACACTCATTCCTTCCTGTCCCCCTTAAGTCAGTCTGAGACCTCACAGGTGGGTGAGAAAAAGGGGGGGGGGGAGGGATGGGTCCTGGAGTAAGGGAGGAAGCAGTGCCCTGACCCAGGCTCAGGCTGTGGAGTGCTGTGAGCCCCAGCTCTGTCCCCCTCACTGAGCCAAGTCCTTCTTGCTGCCCACAGGTGCAGACCCAGGAGACCATGAGGACCACGGGGGTCCCAAGGGCCACGCTGCCCCCTAGTTATGCCCTGGAGCTGCTCACCATCTTTGCCTGGGAGCAGGGCTGCAGGGAAGACAAGTTCAGACTGGCCCAAGGGCTCAGAACTGTCCTGGCCTTGATCCAACAGAACAAGGACCTGTGCATTTTCTGGACGGAAAACTACGGCTTCGGGGACCCTGTGGTTGGGGAGTTCTTACGAAGGCAGCTTGAGAGACCCAGGTATCGCCTCTGCCGCCACTGCCTGCTATCCTGTCCTGCGCACTGGGGACAGGATTTAGTCCTGGTTAATTAAGAATTTAGGAACGGAACCATAGCCAGGGCTCGTGTTGTTGTTCCTGTTTAGTTGACGTGACATGCATACACTGATGACAGTTCACACCTGAAGCCACCGCTCAGGCATACAAGGTGTCCAGCAGGCCAGTAGGCCCTCTCAGGCAGCGGTGCCCCACAGGTATCCCTGCTCTGCTTTTCATCATCAGAATCTTGCCTGCTCTTAAGTCATATTGCACGGAATCTGGCAGCTCACTCTCTCTTTGTTGGTGTGAACCATTCCTTTGTATGAATTATCACACTGTGGATTGCATTCTGCTCCTTGGAGTGTGAATTAGAGTCCCTGGGGGTGGATCCTGTTTGCTTCCATGCACCTCTGCTGTGAAGCTGGATATCTTGGTTATTTTCTATTGCTGTAAAGAGACATTGTGACCTTATAAAGCAAAGCATTTGATTGGGGCTCCCAGTTCCAGAGGGTGAGACCACATGGCAGGGAGCATGGCAGGTGGCATGCATGGTGCTAGAGCAATAGCTGAGAGCTCGCATCCTGATCCACAGGCAGGAAGCAGAGACAGAAAGAGAGAGACAGAGACAGAGACACACAGAGACAGAAGGGGAGACTAACCTGGCAATAGGCAGGGGAGAGGCTTTTGAAATCTCAAAGCCCACCCACACTTCCCGTGACACCCCTCCTCCAACAAGGCCACACCTCCCAATCCTTCCCAAATAGCTCCACCAACAGGGAAACCAAGTCCAGGTATTTAAATATATAAGCCTATGGGGGACTGTTCTCATTCAAACTACCACACCAGAGTTCAGGACCTGGCTCCAGCAGAGCAGGTGATGTCATCCTTATGCAAATGAGAAAACCCAGGCTGGAGGAAGGAGGTCATCTGCCCTGGACACCAAAGCTGAAAGGGGCAAAGCTGGGGTAAGCACCAGGTCTGCCCTAACTCTGACCCTTTTTACTGCCCTGAGCCTTCTTGTCTCTGGAATTACAGGCCGGTGATCCTGGATCCAGCTGACCCCACTTGGGACCTGGGCAATGGGACAACCTGGCGCTGGGATGTACTGGCCAAGGAGGCCGAGTCCTGCTTCAATCAGCGGTGCTTCCTGCAGACATCTGGAGTCCCTGAGCAGCCTTGGGAGGGGCCGGTGAGTGAGAGAACACCAGGAACCTTAGGCTTGGTACTGATGTGCTAGGGGCTGTGGCGTGCAACTGTCGGGGCGGTGGAAGTGTCACCCAGCTCAAACTTCTGGGAAGAGCACCTGGGGCTGTCTGTAGTGTCTTCCACTCTCACGGTATGTCCATCCATCTAGCAATCCTCACAGCTATCTCCCCATCTGGGCACCTGTCCTGCACTACACCAAGGCTCACATCTCTCATGACTCCCTCCCCACGCCTCAGTCACCTCAGCTGTGGTCAGAGGGGCTGAGAGAAAGGCTGGGTGGTAAGAGAAACCTCTGCTCTGGCTGATGAGGCTTGGTCACCACCTTCCAGGGCCTTCCACGTGCTGGCATCTTGGGTTTGGGCCACCCCATCCAACAAAGGCCTAACCAGGTCCTTGAAGACAACACAAGCCACAATGCTGTTCGGCCAAGGACAGGGAGCCCACAAACTTTGCATCAAGCTCCAGCCAGTAAAGCCAGCAAGAACCTCAGAAAAGCAGCCCCTCCAAGGACTGCCCATGAAGCAGTGCCAAATGTCTCAAGTCACGCTCTGGTCACCCCAAACACACCTTCTGGCCACTCAGGGGCACCCAGCATCTCCACTCCCAGGTCAGTGATGGGCTCGGATCTGTCGAAGATCCCTAGCAAGGAGCTGGACTCCTTCATCCAGGATCACCTGAGGCCAAGTCCCCAGTTCCAGCAGCAGGTGAGGAAAGCCATTGACGCCATCCTGCGCTGCCTCCGGGAGAAGTGTGTGTACAAAGCCTCCAGGGTCAGCAAGGTGAGTCCTAACTCAAAGGTGCCATTGGGATGCCCCAGAGAACCACAGTGGGCAGGGAGGCAACAGAGGCGACGTGGGCCAGGAAAACTGGATGTCACTGGAGGTGCCCTTTGCTGTCTGGGTGTAGACAGACAGATGATCCTCAGCTTAAAAGTGGAGTCTCATCCTAATCTAGGACGGGAATGCTGTAAATCAAAACTCCATTAATAACTTTAGGCATCTCCCATATTGTCCTATGTCAGGGAAAGCATGGCTTGCCCTCCCTGTGCTCCCATGCTTGCAGAAGCCGATGCTGGCCACGTTAATCCAGCATGGTGGCCATGCTGTCCGGCCATCCAAAGTCAAGCCTGGTGAGTTGAGGCCCAATGTAGGTTTAAGTGCTTTTGTTTTGTTTTCTTTTTATTTATTCTTTTGTTTTTGTTTTTAGCTCACACATAACCCAGGCTGACCTGGAAGTTACTATGTGGCCCAATGTAACCTCAAATTCCAGGCAATCCTCCTGCCTCATTGTCCCTAGACCTGGGATTGCAGGTGTGGGCTACCACATCTGCCTCATTCTACTTTGCATGATACAGTAGTTCCATTGTTCATTTCGTCTGTCTTTTGACTGATGTCTGGGTCTTGCTAACCTAGGTAATTGCTCTACCACTGAACTAACAATCCATAAGTTTTCTAGGATTTTGCTGTTGTTGCTGTTGCTTTAAAATCACTGTTAAAATAGTCATATCACTTCTCTCTTGAGCTCAAAATCTGTGTTCCCCCAGGGTCATGGAGCCAGTTCTGGCTGCTTCTGGCCGTTCTCC